ATCCCCACAGGGAGCGGTAGGGGGGGGAGAAAGCCAGAGCAGGGTCCACAATGCTGGAGGAGGGGGTCAATGAGTGTCGGGGGTGGACCCAGGCAAGTCAGGTGTAGGTTCCCCACACCTGTTTTATCGTGATAACCAGTCCGCTGTAAGCAGACACAGAAGCGGATCAGCGATTCTTTAGCTCCTAAAACCAGGTCTGGCAGTGGCCGTGCGCGGCAGGGGCTGTATCTAAAACATTTCCCTGCATCCAGCCCCTTTCGCAGGCGAATCCACCTTACCGGGCAGGGAAGCGCTGCCTTGCCCAGTCCCTGGGGAACATTGTGCCAGTCAGATCCCAGCCCTGGGAAGCGGCCTCAGATGCCCCCCGGGAAACACCCACATCTGTCCCACTGGCCGGTTTTGCAAACACTGCAGACGGCTCCTTCGATTCCATCCTCCCCCTAGCCTGGGTTCCCCTCTGCCCCTCGCCCTTCACCCGCGCGGTAACTTTAGCCCCTCCCCCCGCTCCGGCTCCGGACCCCGCACGCACCGGGCCGTAGAGGCACCAGCAGCTGGTCTCAGAGTTCGCTCCTTAGGGCGCGCTGCGAAGGCGCCCCAGAGCGGGGCATGCGCAGTAGCCGCAGCTGAGGCTGCTGCCCTCACTCTGCGCGCAGGCGCAGGCCAATAGGGGCTGGAACGCTGGGTGCAGCTGGCTCCGGGCACGCGGCTGCCGGCGCTCCACGGAGGCGGCAGCAGCTTGTGAGTAGCAGAGACTGAGCCTGCAGCCGCGCGATCCTGCCCCGGTCACCGCAGCCTGCGCTATAGGCTTCGTGAGAGCCCCGGGCAAAGGGCTGGGCCGGGCAGGGAAGTGACTCTGCCCCCTCCTCGCCTCAGCGCTGCTGCCCTGACAGTGCGTGCGCTGGGGGAGCATGCGGATGGGGGCGCTGCAGGGGATCAGGCTGCGGGGGGAGTGGGACTGAGGGGAACGAGGCTGGAAGCCAGAGCAGGGCTGTGGTAAGAGCCGCCCAGGAAACCTCAGACTCTCCTTTTGCCTGGGGCAGAGGACCGGGGAGCCCATGGCAGCCCCCACACTGTGTCCCCCACCCCGACTGGTGGGGAGGCCAATCACCAATCCGAAATACAAATACCCGGAGCTACACAGCTCCCCTGCTTGGCGGTTTGCACAGAGCTGCTCCCTTGTAAGACTGTGCTACAGGTAGCAGGTTCTGGTCCGTAGCTCATAACCTTTTGCCTGGGGCAGAGGACCGGGGAGCCCATGGCAGCCCCCACACTGTGTCCCCCACCCCGACTGGTGGGGAGGCCAATCACCAATCCGAAATACAAATACCCGGAGCTACACAGCTCCCCTGCTTGGCGGTTTGCACAGAGCTGCTCCCTTGTAAGACTGTGCTACAGGTAGCAGGTTCTGGTCCGTAGCTCATAAGGAATTGCTCCTGTAAGATTTCTGTTAGGAGCAGGAGCAGCCCTAGACTAGCTGCCAGCAACTGGCACCCTAGGTGAACCATGCAATCAGTGCCCCCACCTTAAAACCCCTCAACGATATTGCACCACCATTTGGTGCCCCGTGGTGCCCCATTTAACTTGGCGCTCTAGGTGACCACCTAGTTCGGCTATATGGACAGGCCACCCTGATTAGGAGTAGCACAATCCTACAAGTAGCCATTACCTATAGTTCTTTGTATAGAACTGCACCCTGTAGGACTGTGCTACTGGTAGCAGTTTCTGATACACTTTTTGTAAGAAACTGCTATTATCTGACATTGCTACCGCCTGTGGAATAGTTCTACAGGGAGCAGTTACATAGGCTAGGCACAAAGTGTAGGAAACAGCTATTGTCAAACACCAGCTCTAGCCAATTCCTACAGACCCAGAGATTGTTATGATTCATGCTTCTCTCTCAGGGCTCCAGTTGAGGCTTAAGCAGCATAGAATAGAGCCCACAAATTACTTCTTGGCTACATGTAGACTGGCATGATTTTCCAGAAATGCTTTTAACAGAAAAGTTTTCCGTTAAAGCATTTTCAGAACAGAGCGTCTAGATTGGCACAGATGCTTTTCCGCAAAAGCACTTTGTGGCACAGACACTTTTCCAATCTAGATGCGCTTTTCTGCAAAAAAGCCCCGATCGCCATTTTCGCGATCGGGGCTTTTTTGTGGAAAACAAATCTGGTCTGTCTACACTGGCCCTTTTGCGCAAAACTTTTGCGCAAAAGGGCCACTTTTGCCCGAATGGCAGCAGCATAGTATTTCCGCAAGAACACTGACAATCTTACATGAGATCGTCAGTGCTTTTGCGGAAATTCAAGCGGCCAGTGCAGACAGCTGGCAAGTTTTTCCAGAAAAGTGGCTAATTTTCTGGAAAAACTGGCCAGTCTAGACACAGCCCTTGTGTCTTGCTTGGGGACCTGAGACACTTTCAGTTAAGAGCTACAAACACTCAGAAGCACATATTTCATGTCCATTACACAGTTGCTTTACAATGTTAACAATGAAGCATCAGCTTTCCAGAAATTAGCACAAAACATATACAGGTGAAAACCGGAAGAGATTGGTTTTGTGTGTTCTGTTCTTGATCTGTGCTCCCAGCAACAGATAGGCAGAATCCAGGGATCTCTGCTTAGAGGAATTACAGAATCAGGGGCAGTGTCACACACAACACTTCACAGGGCTTGACTTAAAATTAATCCATATGGTAAGTTTTATTGCTTGCCCACTTGACTGCTTTCAGGGCCTGTAGTTTTGCTGAGACCCACTGAATTCTGATCCATTAGCATTTCTGTCAGTTTTGCTTTGAAATCAAATTTCCACTTCGATCATTTATTTCTATCTCATGGCCATTCCCCTACCCTACTGATGGGAAATCTGGATGATTTGTTCTGACGTGTAGAAGTACACAGAACCCTTATTTTGCCAAAGCCGTTCTGGTTACATGCTGTACCCCTTCCCTGCAATCTTTGTCTGCCTTTAGGTCGATTCCTCTTTGGAAAGAACATAAGCTCTTCTACCACATAAATAATAATTGCAAAGTACGGTAATAATAAAAGATAATGGTATGATAACATATGTCAAATGTTACTTGGTAGTATTATCTAATTCACCCCTTTCCACTGGTACAAAAACAAGAGGACATTTAATGAAAATAAGAGGCCACCAATTCAGATCAGATCAAAATATTTTTCCAAACAGTGCAAAATTTGTCACCAGAACTCATGTCACAAGGTATTATTACAGCCCAGAGTTCAGAAGCGTTTGAAGATTATATGGAGAAAGAACATTCCAATTTACTTATGCAAAGTACAACACACTGCAATAAACCATGGAAATACTGTCTGTAGTGAGGTTTAGCCTTCCATTGAGGCTACGTTTACACTACAGCTATGTCTACACTGGCCAAGAACTTATGCAAATGAGGCACGGCAACGAATATCACAGTGCCTCATTTGCATACTTAATGAGCCACCATTTTGCACACTGCTCCTTCTTGCACAAAACCCCCCCTCTCGTGCAAGAGCTGTTCTCAACCAGGAGAGTGGCTCTCATTTGGGCATCCTTGCACCGCAGGTTGGGGGCCAGCCCTGCTCACAGCTCCAGGAAGGTTGCTTTATGCATCCTGGAGTTCTGTAGCCATGGCTCTTCATTCCTCCACCACCACATGAGGGTGTGATCTTTGCTGCCATGTCCAAGATCCTCACAACAGCTAACAAAGCACATGGCAGAAGTGCAGGATCCATTCTTTCTTGCTGCAGATGCCGGCATGCACTGCACAAACTAGCTGTTGGAAAAAGATACTAAAGGACAAAGAAGCCTCTTGACAAAGTGGTGCCGGATGGGATGTTTTAAATGGTTGCAAGATGCTCCATGCTCTGTTCAGCAGTCCACCATCATCTGGTGTTGCCAGGTACAGTGGGAAACATACCTAAAGTGCATAGCTTCCACTGTCAACAGGGGAACATTGTGAACACTAGGGATGTAATAGTGTAGTCGATTAACCAATTATCCAATAAGCAAAAGTTTATAGATTAATGCTATGGACTACATGCATCCCTCTCCCCTTGCCAGTATATTTTTTAGCAGGCTGGCCAGCAGCCCAGCTCAGTCCTGGCTCACGGAGCCTCTAATTTCACCTAGGAGTCTGTTTACTCCCTTGGCCTTCAAGCTGCCTGGCTCAACCTGTCTCACCACTATTTACAGGACAGCCCTGCCCAATAGTCCCCCAAAACAACCAAAGGTTTGAAGTCCAAAGCTTGACCCCCTCATGAGTCCTCACAGTGGCTCATTCGCCCAGGTAGCTATTGCTTCCTGCCTCTCTGGACCTTGGCTCACTGGTGTGTCTCAGTTTCACCTCGTCCCTCAGTGTTCCGGGTACTGCTCCTTTGTCCTGGGTTCAACGAGGTCTCCAGAGGCGTCCCGTCTCCAGTCTGAGTGGCTACCTCTAGGTAGGCACTAGGGCTTGCAGGGAGCTGGCTTGGCATGTCCTCTCCATCCGGCTGCCAGCCCCAACTGAGCTGAGCTGCTCTCTTTTATAGTAGTGCAGCCCGAACATGCCCAGTGAGCTAAAGGGGGTGTGGCCTCCTCCTCTGCCCCCAGGGCTGAGTCAACTGCCTCCTGACCAGTGCAGGGTGGTTATGCCCCATCACAGTTGGACAATAGGAAAAACTTTCTAACTGTCAGGTTAGTTAAGCACTGGAATAAATTGCCTATGGAGGTTGTGGAATCTCCATAATTGAAAATATTTAAAAGCAGGGTAGCTAGATAGTCCTGTTGTGAGTGCAGGGGACTGGACTTGATGACCTCTCGAGCTTCCTTCCAGGTCTAGTATTTTGTGATTCTATATGCTTACTCTGACACACATAAACCAGTAGGAGAACACATATAGATCTCCCTGGCTCTGTAATTTCCACTCCGATTCATCTGATGAAGTGGGTTTTACCCATGTAAGCTTATGCCCTAATACACCTGCTGGTCTTCAAGGTGCCACAGGACTCCTCATTGTTTTTGCAGATACAGATTAACGTGGTTCCCCCTCTCAGGCATCTTTTCCTTAGGCCACAGGCCTGCTCCTGGGAATGGAGATGGGGAGGGTGGGGCAGGCAGGTGATGCCTTTTAAACCATCCCCATGGGAACAGGTCTGTGGGCTGGTCAGAGCAGGGAGGGGCTAGTCTGTGCCACTGGGGTCACTGTCAGGGACAGAGACTCTCCAGGCTACACTGGGACCGGGCAGATAATGAGGGGATCTGCATTCCTGTTGGGACAAGGACTGAAATACGGGCGGAGCGTCCCGGAGAAGGTGTCGGTGAACGTGAAGAGATGGGACCCGTCAGTCACATTGTAAAACGAAACCTCACCCGCCTCGTAGTCCAGGAAAATCCCCACCCGCCAGAGCCTGGCGCTCACGGGGAGGGAGGTTGGTGGGGAGGTGGCAGCCATGTATTTCCCATACCTGAGTAAAACAACCCAGCATCCGTTCCCAGGGGAGAGGGTGATCTTTCCCTTCCTTTTCAAAGACTCCCTGCAAATGCCTAGGTCCCACTCAGGCTTGTCCCCCACCTCCACCTGCCAGTAACGCCTCCCGCTGGCGAATCCCTCGGCACCTAGGACACAGGCACAATGATCAAATCTCTCCGGGGTGTCGGGCAGAGCCTGGTACACGTCTCCAAGTCTCACACATTTCCCATATGCAGACAGGACGAGTTTGGGATGAGCTGTGTCTGGATCTAGAGTCACATCCACTGGGGAGAGAGGCACAGAGTCAGGGCTGGGGGACAGAGGCTGGCCACGGAGATCAAAGGGAATTAGTCCTGGGGCTCAGAGTGGGGTAAGAGGATGGGTGGGGACACGGATGAAGGAAGAGGCAGGTGCGAGGGAGAGCGGGAGGTAAAGGTTAGTACTGGATGCTGGGGGTAAGAGTGTGGTGAGGAGTGGCGTAGGCGCCAGGAGCATGAGGGAGGCAGGCCCTGGGCAGGTACCAGGAGGGCAGAGTGAGGCAGGGTTCTGAAGAAAGAGGGGGTGGCTTGGCAGAGATGATAACCAGTGGGAAAGCTGGATGAGGGAAGGGCCTGGGACAGAGGGGAGGGATGGGCACCAGGGGATTAGACAAGTGGTAAGGGGAGCATGTGTCCAGGAGAAGGCGGGGGTGGTGCAATGGGTCATTGTTCAGTACTCATAGGAGACATGCTGCAGTTGGGAGTTCAAGCCTCACCTAGAGCAGTGGCTTTCAGTGCCTGCAGGGCTTCCCTGTCCCTGGGGGACCTGGGATTGCAGCCCAGATGAGAGGAGCAGTGAGAATTCCCCCTTCAGAGGTGGGGGGAGGAGGAGGAGGAGGATAGCTCAGTGGCTTGAGCATTGGCCTGCTAAGCCCAGGATTGGGAGTTCAATCCTTAAGGGGGCCATTTAGGGATCAGGGGCAAATCTGTCAGGGATGGTACTTTGGCCTGCAATAGGTACAGGGGACTGGACTCCATGACCCCTCAAGGTTAGGGTGCCAGGGGAGCAGAGATGAGGGGTAAGAATTGGTGCAACAGACAGGGCAAGGGTTAGGGGCTTGTAACTGTGAGCATAGGGGGCAAGCAGAAGGCCTGGCAGTAGGTGGGGAGGGGCAGGCAGCCAGGCATGAAATGTGGCAAGCAGTATGTTTTGGGGGGGGGGGGTCAAGGGCAGGGAGGGAACAGAAGGGCTGTGCTTGGAGGCCTAGAGCTAGTAGATTTTTGTGGGTTCTGGGGTGGAAATGTGGAAAAATGAGGGGTTCAGTGTGTAGGGGAGGGCTTACGTAGAGCAGGCTGTGGGTGGGAAGTATAGTAAGTTGAGGGTCAGTAACATGGAGTTAGCAGGCCTGAACAGAGGCCTGTAACATGAAAACAGCAACAGGCCTGCAATCTAGTGAGCAAGACTTTGGTTTAGGAGCAACACAGGGGCCAAGAAAGAGTCCCTAGTGATAACTGTGTGATTGGGTAGGTTAGGACATAGGGAGGCACCAGGTACAAACTGTAAGCCAAGAGGGGAGTAGCAGAACATCTTAGTAAGCAATGTCTCTGTACAAAGACTCTCTAGAAACTATGCACATACCAATCTGGGTTCAGGACCAGGTCAAAATTGACAGGATGAAGGATAGAAGGTAAGCCCCCCTTCCATAAGGTGAGGGGTGGTAACTAGGCAACATCAGGGGGCTACCTGGTACGTAAAGAAGTGATGCAAGTTGTTTGTTGAGGGCGCTCTCCGGCCGACCTCGGGGGGGGGGGGCACTAGGCACCTGAAACAGCAGGAACGGCAGGTGTCAGTGCCTAGACTTACAGAATGCACAGTGGCTTAACTCTGACTAACCACTATTAATATCTGTTATATGGCAATAGGCCTGCTATGTGTTGGTACCTTGTCAACGTGGACCAAGTGCGCAGTGGTGTAGTATTGTAGAATCTCTGCTACCAACTGTTAGAGCATCTCAATAAACCTGCTTGACTGATTTCAAACCTTGCCTGAATCGGTCATTTCCAGGGACTTTCAGAGATCTTCTGTGCTGGCCCAAGAGCACAGGGTCTAATACTCTAGATAAAGGGAGCACTGACATTGACGCATGCAGCTGAAAATTGATCACCGATGGAGTAGGGGTCCTGTCAGGAGGACTCTGGAACAACCCCGAGAACCCTGACCAGATGACACAGACACTGACAGTACAACACTGGTGGTACGACAGGAAGTAGTAGGGTGCAAGAGCAGAGTGGGAGTGTGTGGTCTGGAAGGGTGGCTGGATGCTGAGGTGGGGGGTGGGTAGGTTGCTTTGTGCTTGCAAGAACCTCTGCCCACCGCTCCCATTGGCCACAACTCCTGGCCAATGGGAGGAGTGGGAGAAAAGTCTACAGGGCTGTTATTCCCCGAACCAGGGGGAGGAGGAAGGGGAAACGGCAGCATGTGGAGTCACTTCCTTCCCCACCCCGCTCCAGTCAGAACTGGACACATAGGGGCTTTAGCGATGGCTCCCCGCTGCTTCTCCCGTGTGTGGGTGTGGGGAGCCCTGAGTCTTGCAGCCAAGAGGAAGGGAGGCCAGGGGCTGGATCCAGCTCACGGGCCATAGGTTCCCCATCGCTGCAGTAAATGTAGACTGTACAGGGAGAGAGGCCATCGAACGCTACACTGGATTATACTGTTGAGCCACTAGGCCCTGGGCTACACTAGAGAGTTATTTTGAAATAACCAGGGAAGCATCCAAACTACCACACCCGTTATTTCGAAATATGAGGTGGTTATTCCCTACTGCTTTCCTCGGGGAATAACACTCACTTTGAAATAGTAACTTCGAAATAGCGGTAGCGTGGACTCTCCGCTGCTGCTATTTTGAAATGAATGACTCCCCAGAGCCATTCGAACTAATTACCCCCCGGTGCTTGCCGGGGCTCTAAGTCGAGGTGGCGTGTCCACAGTAGCAGAGCCTGCCTCCGACTGATTGCCAGGTTCCCCCATTGTGGGGACACACGATTTTGGTTTGGTTGTTTTGGGAGTTGGCCATTCCCCCCTTTGCCCCTTCCTGGCCGTAATCCTGGCCCAGTGGGACAGTGAGGGGGAAGGGGAGCAGGCCTGGGCTGCCTCCAGACAGTGAAGGAAGCTGCTTCCCCCACAGCCTGGGGGTCCTGTTCTCCAGAGCCCTGAGCTCCTGGCCCTGCAGCTGGAACCTGCAGAGAGAGGTGATTGCGCTGACCTAGCAGGAGTCACTGCAAGTGATGTGTCTGTTAGAGTTAGGTGCAAAAGGCCAGGGAAAAGTAAATACCTGAGGGTATATCTACACTACCACCCTGGTTCGAACTAGGGAGGCTAATGGAGGCATTCGAAGTTGCAAATAAAACCCGGGATTTAAATATCCTGGGCTTCATTTGCATCTTGCCGGGCGCCGCCATTTTTAAATCCCCATTAGTGCGGACTCCGTGCCCGTGGCTACATGCGGCATGGAGTAGGTAGTTAGAATTAGGCTAACGGGGATTTAAAAATGGCGGCGCCCGGCAAGATGCAAATGAAGCCCAGGATATTTAAATCCCAGGCTTCATTTGCAACTTCGAATGCCTCCATTAGCCTCCCTAGTTCGAACCAGGGTGGCAGTGTAGACATACCCTGACAGCCTTTCTTCCCCATCAGCTGAATGGAAAATGGGCCTCTGGACACCTGAGTGGTGAGCACTTGAAACCAGCTCAGACTGTGGGTTACTATAGCTAAGCTGTCCTAACTCTCTTGCATACATGTGTGTGCGCGATAAAAATCTAACGATCAGTGGGTTTAGCTAAAATCACTTATTTGGATTGATTATTGACCAGATGGGACTGCTATGTGCCCACTGATTTCTCTCTCACACAGCCAGGCGTGGGCCAGGTACATTACTACTGCTTTGTGTTCTCTGAAACCCACGGTAACACCTCCAGATCAGAGCGCTCCCCCAGCCTTAGCTTCAGGACTGCTGCCGTGCCAGGCTGCTGGTCACAATGTTCCCCACACCATTGGTCCCCATGAGCACAACACAAGTCAATTCCTGCGGTTCAGAAAAAGGTTCAGAAAAGGGCAACACAAATGATTTGGGGTTTGGAACGGGTCCCGTATGAAGAGAGATTAGAAAGACGGGGACTTTTCATCTTAGAAAAGAAGAGACTAAGGGGGGAGATGATAGAGGTCTATAAAATCATGACTGATGTGGAAAAAGTGAATAAGGAAAAGTTATTTACTAATTCCCACAGTATAAGAACTAGGGGTCACCAAATGAAATGAATAGGCAGCGGGTTTAAAACAAACAAAAGGAAGTTTTTCTTCACTCAGTGCACAGTCAACCTGTGGAACTCCTTGCCAGAGGACATGGTGAAGACTAGGATTTTAACAGGGTTCAAAAAAGGGCTAAATAGATTCATGGAGGTTAGGTCCATCAATGGCTATTAGCCAGGATAGGTAGGAATGGTGTCCCTAGCCTCTGTTTGTCTGGAGATGGATGACAGGAGAGGAATTATGTGAAGATTACCTGTTGTGTTCCCTCCCTTTGGGGCATCTGGCATTGGCAATTGTCGGCAGACAGGATACTGGGCTGGATGGACCTTTGGTCTGATCCGTCTGGCCATTCTTACATATTTCTCCCCACTCACCTGTAAAGCAAACCCAGCCCAGTAACTCTCACTCACCGGTGAATCTCTCCAGCATTTCCCTCATGTCAAGGCAGATTTTATACACGTTCTTCAGGGTAGGAGAAACGGCTTTTGGTGGCTGGAGTTTCACATACTCACTCCTATGAAGAAAACATCCCGGTATCATTCAGCTGCTCTGCACCCACATTGCTCATGGGAGCAGAAGGAGAAGCGGACATGGGAACTGACCTGATCAACGCGCTTTTCACATCCTGAAAGGAGAGAGACAGGAAGCTGGGTTAGCACTGGTGCATAAATCCTGAGTGACTTTCTGTTCTCTACCAGATTTAATCCACAACTGTGAATACATGCGTCAGGGCCAGCCACCTCGGAGCAGGACGCGCGGCAGTGACCACTGATTTCAGGTGCTCCATCTGCCCTGGCTGTGACTCTCGGCAGAGCTGGGTGTCATGTGATAACGGGGCAGACACGGGCAGCCTGAAGTGTGGTGAGCGCAGAATAAGGAGAGCTGTTGGAACACGGAAAGCAGCCGCAGCCCAAACATGCCTCTGTCTGTCCTTCAACCTCCCTGCAGAGCTTCCACCCAAACTGCCCTCAGCCTCCCTCCTGGCTGGCATCCTGTGGCGTGCCTAAGGAGACACCGCCCAGGGACTGTAGCTACATCCCAATATGCAGAGCACCAATGGTGATACTGCTGCAGTTGTGCCACAGTAGAGTCTCGGGTGGAGCTGCTCTGTGTCAACAGGGGGAGAGCTGGCTGGCTCCACATCATGCCCCAGATGCCTCCAGCTGCCAGCCAGAGAGGGTCTCACCCCTTAGTTCCATGCCATTCACTGAGAGCTCCCTTTGACTTGCAGGCACCCCCTTTGTCACACCAGAGCTTCAAGTCTCTGCTCCATCCCCACATCCCTATCTGTAGGAACTGCCCCCTGCCAGCAGGACCCTGCCTCCACCTACACTGCTCTGTCTATCCCGTGTGGGACTGCAAAGGCCAGTCCCCACCCACATCAGCCTGCATAGCCTTCACCTCTATGAGCCTGCCCCTGCCACCTGCATGGACCCACTCCTTCCTCCAGGGCTCTGCCCCCACATTCAAAGTCCCAGCTCCTCCCCACCCACCTGTGTTGGCCTATCTGCACTGGCCAACCCTTTCTGCATCACTCCACCCTCCCAGCATCTGCCTGTGCCCAGCTTCTCCTTCTCTCACTTTCACTGGGAAAAGCCACTTTTGGTGTTCAGAGTGCATCTATACTGCACCGTTGTTCCGGAGTAATGGCCATTACTCTGGAAAAGCAATACTAGCGCTCACACAGCAATTGCATTATTTCAAAAGAAAATCGAAATAAGGGAGAGCTTTTTTCTGACATTGGTAAACCTCATTCCACAAGAAATAACGCCTCTTTCAGAAGAGGGTGGCTGCATCTAGACTGGCAAGATTTTGCGCAAAAGCATACGTGTCAGTGTAGATGCTCTCTTGCGCAAATACTTTTAATGGAAAAGTTTTTCTGTTAAAAGTTTTTGCGCAAGAGAGCATCTACACTGACACGTATGCTTTTGCGCAAAATATGTGCTGTTGCACAATTGCATCTGTGCCAGTGTAGATGCTCTCTTGCGCAAATACTTTTAATGGAAAAGTTTTTCTGTTAAAAGTTTTTGCGCAAGAGAGCATCTACACTGGCACAGATGCAATTGTGCAACAGCACATATTTTGCGCAAAAGCAGGAGCTTTTGCGCAAAATATGTGCTGTTGCACAATTGCATCTGTGCCAGTGTAGATGCTCTCTTGCGCAAATACTTTTAACAGAAAAACTTTTCCATTAAAAGTATTTGCGCAAAATCATGCCAGTCTAGACGCGGCCCACGTGTGTGGATGCTCCACTGCTGCTATGTCAAAATAACTCCTCACCAGGGCCATTCTAAGTTATTCCTTACCAGTGCCTCCTGGGGCTCTAAATTGAGATAGCACATCCACATTATGGGAGCCTGCCTCCAACTAATTTTGAGGCTTCCTTGCAGTGTGGATGTGCTATTTCGAAATAAGCTATCTTCCAGAAGGGATCTCCTGGAATAGCTTTTTCCAAAAGAAGCTTGCAGTGTAGATGTACCCTAAGTCCCTACCAGGCAAAGATGCCACTGTGTCCGCGTGTCCCTCAAACACAGGCTGTTTGTGTCTGATTCTATGAGGCCTTGTCAGCACACAGAATCCTAGGGCTGGAAGAGACCTCAGGAGGTCATCGAGTCCAGCCCCCTGCCCAAGGCAGGACCAATCCCAACTAAATCAACGCAGCCAGGGCTCACGTCTGCTTTTACATGTGCAGGCCCACTGATGGGGCGGGCAGAGAGGGCAGTTGCTCTGGGGCTGGGGGTTTGTCATGATCATGAGGGTTAGCCAGCAGCCTGGGGACTAAGGGGTTAACTGCACCTGAGCCAGGTGGAGTGGCCAATAGAAATGTAGGTAGGAATTTCAAACTGGAACAAAGGAATTTTTGGGTTTTCTCCCTCCTTTGTCCTGGGCAGTTCCTCTCCAGCTACTGAGAGAGACAGACATGTCTCTCTCCAAGAAACCATTCTTCACTTTCTCTAAGTAGGGTAAAGTTTAGATAAATCTGTCCGGTTTTATTGTTTTATGGTTTGGGAAGTGGGATCTGATGTCTGTGCACTTTTAAAAAATGTTTTGGCTTCCCTTTGTAATTAAGTTCTAGGCTCATGGTGGAGTTTCTCCATGGCTACGTCTAGACTGGCAAGTTTTTCCGCAAAAGCAGCTGCTTCCAGTCTCCCCTTCCATCCCTGCAGCCTTAAACTCTTCGGTCCCTGATTAGCTCCCAGGAATGAGTGTCAAATCCCATCTCCAGGACGTGTCTGACAGTTTTCTGACACAAACACAAGTGAGGCTGGAGGGGGGAGATTTGCTGGGCCCCTGGGCAAGGTGGGCGAGGGAGGGGCAGCTCCATGCTCCTGGAATGGCTGGGGCCTCCCTCTGGCAGAAGGGGCAGGGCTGGGGGCCAGCAGACCTCAGCGCTGCCTTGAGTACGCTGCATCAGGGTTCCCAGCCTTAGTCCCCAGGCTGCTGGCTAACCCTTATGATCATGATCATTACCTGCAGCAGCGTAATGTCTGGTTGCTGACATTTCTCCTCCATCTCAGTGATGAGGTTGATCAGAGCAACGTTTTGCGCCGAGAGCTTCATTATATTGTCCTGTAGTCTCCGCAGAGTCTCCTCCTCCTCCGCCGCCAGTCTCCGCAGTAGCAGCTGCTCCTCCGCATGCAGCACCCGATGCAGTGTCTTAAACTGACCTGCGATCAACCGTCTCTGAGTCTCCACTGTGATCTTTAGTAACAAATGAAGACGGAACAAACCCTGGGAGCCAGGTCTGGTGCTTGCTCAGCTGAGCCTGCCTTGTGGATCAGGGAGCCAGGCTGCTGGTCATGGGCAGCAGGGATCATGAACTCACTGGCTACGTCTACACTGGCCCCTCTTCCGGAAGGGGCATGTAAATTTCACGAGTCGTCGTAGGGAAATCCGCGGGGGATTTAAATATCCCCCGCGGCATTTAAATAAAAATGTCCGCCGCTTTTTTCCGGCTTTTAAAAAAGCCGGAAAAGAACGTCTAGACTGGCCCCGATCCTCCGGAAAAAGTGCCCTTTTCCGGAGGCTCTTATTCTTACTTCAAAGTAAGAATAAGAGCCTCCGGAAAAGGGCACTTTTTCCGGAGGATCGGGGCCAGTCTAGACGCTCTTTTCCGGCTTTTTTAAAAGCCGGAAAAAAGCGGCGGACATTTTTATTTAAATGCCGCGGGGGATATTTAAATCCCCCGCGGATTTCCCTACGACGACTAGTGAAATTTACATGCCCCTCCCGGAAAAGGGGCCAGTGTAGACGTAGCCTTACAG